GATATAAAATAATGTTGATTCCTTTTCTTGGCTGAGGCGGGTGTTCCTGACCAAGCAAGAGAAGTTTGGATTTGAATCTTCGGTTATGATGATGGAAGTTTGTATTTCATACAGGTGACTGGCTACTTGGGTTTTTGTTGGAGAGAATGAAGGCAAGGGCTGTCCCCGGTGATCTCTCCACAGCACCTCGGGCTCTGGGTACCACCTGGCTGATCGGCACACCACCCGGATCCCTCCGTCCTGGTAATCCTCCACTGAGATGTGAGGAGCAGAGCCTGAAGCTAGAGACAAATGAATAAATCCACGATGAGTTATGCACATATTGAGCCACAGAGAAAAATCCTTTAAGATTTCCATTGATTCCCAGTGGTCACGGACTCAGGAAACTACATGGACAAGAAGCTGTAATTACTTCATGGAGCCTTTCTCCTCGGTATTGTTTAATCTCGCAGAGCATTTCTGGACCCTATGATCTCCTTTAATTGCCAGTTTAGCGGAGCACTAGCAGAATTTTTTAAAACGGAGAAAATAAACCTTGTTTTTCACATGTATCCTCAGGGGAAATGGCTGCTCTTTGATCGAATTCAATCTGCTCTGCCTAGCCCTGCACCTACGGTGTCAGAGAGGAAGGGGAGGAGTAGCTGGACATTTTTGTGCATGACCCTTCTGAACTGCCTCTTGACTGGCCATAACAGTGCAGAACATCCCCCCCCAGTTTCCTCCTTCCAGCTTAGAATCATAGAATCCCAGGGCTGGAAGAGACCAGCCCCCTGCCCAAAGTAGGACCAAACCCAACTCAATCATCCCAGCCAGGGCTTTGTCAAGCTGCGACTTACAAACCTCTAGGGATGGAGCTTCCATCCCCTGCCTAGGTAACGGATTCCAGTGCTTCCCCACCCTCCTCGGGAAATAGTTTTTCCTAATATCCAACCTAGACCTCTCACACTGCAACTTGAGACCATTGCTCCTTGTTCTGCCATCTGTCACTACTGAGAACAGCCTCTCTCCATCCTTTTTGGAACCTCTCGTCAGGAAATTGAAGGCTGCTATCAAATCCCCCCTCACTCTTCTCTTCTGCCAACTAAATAAGCCCAAATCCCTCAAGTCTCTTCTCCTAGGTGATGTGCTCCAGCCCCCTAATCGTTTTGGTTGCCCTCCGCTGGACCCTCTCCAATGCGTCCACATCCTTTCTATAGTGGGGGCCCCAGAACTGGATGCAACACTCTAGATGTGGTATCACCAGAGCCGAATAAAGGGGAATAATCACTTCCCTAGATCTGCTGACAATGTTCCTCCTAATGCACCCCAATATGCCATTAGCTTTCTTGGCTACAAGGGCGCCCTGTTGACTCGTATCCGACTTCTCATCCACTGTAATCCCCACATTCTTTATGCAGCCTTCACCAGAAAGAAAGGCATTTCCACAAGGGGACTCCAGGAAGTCCTAGATCTAGTGGATCACATGCCATTAGCTTTCTTGGCTACAAGGGCGCCCTGTTGACTCGTATCCGACTTCTCATCCCACATTCTTTATGCAGCCTTCACCAGAAAGAAAGGCATTTCCACAAGAGGACTCCAGGAAGTCCCAGGGCTAGTGGATCACTAGATACTCCACATTTGAAAGAGTATCTAATGCCCATAGGTTAGGAATCGCCATTGTGACTAGTTTGTGTAACTAATTCCAGTGAAAGTGAAGGCTGTGTAGGTCAGTCCCACTATCACAGATGCTGTTACTGGCACCTGGAAGGGCATTTTTATAGAACATCAAGTACCTCAGGAGATGAAAACTCAGAGCCGGGCATTAGTTTTAACTGTGTGAATCCAGGAAATCAGATGTTATTTCAGTGTTTTATTCTCTTCTTAAAAGGGGCAAAACAGATGATGGTTGATGAAGGTGTAAAAATTCAGAAGCCTCTTCTCCAACTGACTTCACATTTGGTACAAGTCACTTTCCTGCCTCGGCGACAGACCGTGGATAGAATATTCCAAGTCCCCTCACAGGAGTAGGAGCTGGTGGCCTGTTTTCTACTGTGACGCACTGGCATTCCCATCAGGAAATGAACAGCACCCAAAAGAGAATTCTGCATAGCGTGGAGGGTGGGTATTGGACTAGCATACAGAGGCTACTGCACTTCCTGGGGTGTCCCAAAACCAGGTGGCTTTGGAAGCCTGCTGCCATGATAGAGGCGAAAAATTGTTGCTGCCGCCTCTTCTAGCACTATTTGGGAAAAGAGGCTTTTCCTGATGCAGCGTCATGCAAAGGAGCATGGTGTTTGGGCCAGGAAGCCAGCTCAGACTGGTGGGAAGGGCTTGTGATGTGGTCCTGGGATGACCAGCCGTGGAACGTCCCCATCGCTGCCAGTCGGTAACTCACCAGTGTAGTGTTAGTAGGTTAACGGTCAGGGCTGTGGTCCTGGTGACAAGCACTGCTCTACAGAGAATGCTGATGGCAGAGGTCATACAGCAGGGGGTGGGGAACCATTTTTCTGTCAGGGACCATGGACCCACAGAAAAATCCATTAGGGGAAATCCTCACTCCACTTACCTGTAGTTGGGGCCGGATTAAAACTCTGGCAGCCCGGAGCTACTGGATTTTGTGGCAGCTTTAGACTCCAGGGTGGGGCCAAAGATGAGGAGTTCAGAGTGCAGGAAGAGGTTGGATGCGGGAGAGGGTGAGGGCTCCGAATTGAGGCCTGGGCTCTCAATGGGGCTGGGGCTGCAAGCCAAGGAGACTGGGGTGGAAGAGGGGGATCAGGACAGGAGGTTGGGGTGGGGACTGGGCAGGAGTGCAGGTGTAGAACAGGGCTGGGATGTGGGGTCTAGGAGGGAGTTAGGGTGCAGGAGGGAGCTTGGGGTGGAGCAGAGGGATGTGGTGTGGGGTGCTTGCTTGGAGCAGTTCCCCTTTGGTGGCGGTGGGAGAAGCAAGTGACTGTGTGAGCCATGTTGCCCTGCACTCACCTGTAAGCACTGCCCCCTCCGCTCCCCTTGGCTGGGCTCGCCAGCCAATGGGAGCTACGGGGGCGGAACCAGCAGGCGAGAGTGATGTGGGGATGGAATTTTCCCTGGCACCTACAGCAACATGGCTCCAGCCCAACAGGGGAGACAGCAGCATATAGAGCCACCTCCCCGCAATCTCAGCCAGGCAGGGCCCGGTAACACACAGGGCCTATAGTGCCTGCAGCCCAGAGCCCTGGGCTAAGGGGGCCTCACAAAAAGATCTGCACTTTTGGCACCCTTTTGTGGGGCCTCCCTTAGCCCTGAAGCCCCTTTTTTAATCTGGCCCTGCCTGTATCAAGAAGGAGTTTGGGGCACCGGCACTCACTCTCCACCCCACGTGGGGCTGCTGAGGCACCGGGCGCCGAGACTCAGGGCTTCCGGCCCACAACAGGGAGACTTGCTCCTGGCTGGACCCAATGAAGAAGGGGGGGGGGAGGTGGAGTTTCCTGCCTGTCGTAAAGATTGACCAGGCACAAAGGGCTGGAGATGGATTTGCCTGGCTTTGTAAGTGCCGTGTCCCATTCGTACTAACTGCGCTGGTATTTTGGAAGAACTGATTCGTGGGGATGGAGGACCTCGGCAGTACAAAGACCCCCACACAGGGTGGAAAATAAACTCACGCGACACCAAGCTCCTTATGAACTACTAATGAACATCAATCTGACCTACCAGATCCCCCCTATCAACACCAAAAGAAAAACAATTCTATATGGACTCCCCTGATGGCCGGAATTACAATCTGGCTTTCTATATACAATGCTTCCGCAAAAATGTACAGACTGACATTATTCACAAATAACAAGCAACATCCAATCTCAGCTGTGCTGAACACTATGCCATCCAGAGTCTCAAAAACAACCCGGACATTGTAATCAAACCAGCTGACAAAGGGGATGCTGTGCTCATTATGAATAACTCCAACTATGACCAGGAGGCAACTAGACAACTTTCCAACACCACATTTTACAGGATTCCTCTGATCCTACTTCAGAATTCCAAAAGAAACTATGCTGTCTCCTTAAAAAATTCCCTACCTCTACTCAGGACCAAATCTACACAGACATACCTTCTGAACCCTGACCAGGATTGTTCTATCTGCTTCCCCAAATCCATAAACCTGGACACCTTGGACGTCCCATCATCTCTGGTATCGGCATGCTCACTACTGATTTATCCAGCTATGTAGACTCTCTTCTCAAACCCTACGCAACCAACACTCCCAGCTATCTCAGAGATACTACTGACTTCCTGAGAAAACTACAAAACGTCAATAACCTCCCTGATAACGCCATCCTTGCTACCATGGATGTAGAAGCTCTCTACACCAACATCCCACATGAAGACGGATTACAAGCAATCAGAAACACTATCCCAGAGGATACCACTGCCAATCTAGTAGCAGACCTGTGTAACTTTGTTCTCACCCACAATTATTTCCAATTTGGGGACAACTTATACCTCCAGATCAGCATCACAGCCATGGATACCCGCATGGCCCCACAGTACGCTAACATCTTTATGGCTGACTTAGAACGTTTCCTCAGATCCCAACCCCTTTTACCCCTTCTCTACTTACACTATATCAATGACATCTTTATGATCTGGACCCATGGCCAAGAAACACTGGAGACATTCCACAGAGACTTTAACAACCTACACCCCACCATCAATCTCAGCCTGGACCATTCTATACGAGAGATCCATTTCCTGGACACCACAGTACAAATCACCAATGGTAAATTAGACATCACTCTCTACAGAAAACCCACTGACTCCTACAGTTACCTACATGCCTCCAGCTCCCATCCAGAACACACCACACGATCCATCATCTATAGCCAAGCAGCTTGCTAACCATCCCCCTACTTTATATCCGCCTCTTAGATATTAATTATTTTTACCAATTTACTTAATTTGTCCTATAACAGTTTGAAGCAAAGAAATCCAAACTAAAACTTTCATCAGCTAGTATGCGGGCTATTCTGAATTTGGCTGTTACCTCTCTTGGGTTTACTTCTACCGTTTTCTTTTGGTTTGGTGCAGTAAACAGTAATACAGCCTCATTTTCAAACAGATTGGCTGTGTCTACACTGGCATGAATTTCCGGAAATGCTTAAAACGGAATACTATTCCGTTTTCAGTTTTTCCGGAAAAGGAGCATCTACATTGGCAGGCTGCTTTTCTGGAAAAGCCCTTTTTCCGGAAAAGCGTCTGTGGCCAATGTAGACGCGCTTTTCTGCAAAAGAGCCCCGATCGCCATTTTCACAATCGGGGCTTTTTTCCGGAAAAGACTACTGTGCTGTCTACACTGGCCCTTTTCCGGAACAGTGTTCCGGAATAAGGACTTATGCCCAAGCGGGAGCAGAATAGTTTTTCTGGAATAGCGGCTGATTTTGTACAGTAGA